AAGAGTGTATTGTTTTGACACTCTGTGGAGGACCACTTTGTGCTGGCTGTCCAGGGTAGGAAAAATAGCCAAGCCCATTTCTAGGTCCTGCCTTTAGCACATGGACCCAGAATGTGGAGTTTGTCACATGCCCATGGGTTGACATTTTAATAAGAACTCTAAGTCAGATGATTAGCTGTTTGTCACTGCTTCTGCATGTGTCATCTTCCTGCCTGCTGTTGTGCCAGTGACGTTATTGTTATTATTGAGCTGGAGGAGGGGGCTGGGAATTCAGTGCCTGATGGGGAGCAAGCAGGGATGTGGGAGGAGCGAGACTTGTGGCTGCGCATCCAGGGCTGCATCATCAGGGCAGGAAGAGTTCAGTAAGGAGATTTGTGATCCTCACGTGGGATTTGCTGGGGGAGGAGAAGTCACCTAGCAATGCAATCACAGACCATGTCTTTGCATCAGACCAGGGAAGAACCCTGAAACTCCTCTCTGAGTTGTCAAGAGAAATTCAATCTAGATGCTAGCTCAGCTGCCTTGTGTATAGTTCTGGAGCTGGAAACAGTGATTTACAGGACAACAGGAGTTTGAGATCAGTCTTTTAAAATTGCCAAAATGTGTTGGTGGCCTGGGTGAAACAGGCTTGAAGATTTTGTCTCTTTTGTCCTTGAGGAAGAGGCATCTACATCACTGAAGACCTTTAATACACTTTTGCAATTGTTATGCTGCAGGCAGTTAGGAAGCAAGGATGCCAAACACAGGTATTACAGAAACGCACAATGCCATGAAACCAGAATTTTCCCCAGGTCTAAACCCTGGGATTCCTTCAGTCCAGGCTATTCGCTATGGCACTGCACAAAAATATTGCCTTCCTTCTGACTCACCCTTCTGAGATCCTCTGACACTACCTGCAACCATGGGGTAATGTTCACATGTCCTAGGACAGACAGAAACAAGTTGATGATACATCCTGTACAAACCTTATGCACGTGCACTAGTGAAGGCTGCGACACACCGGTCTACTTCATTCCCACTGTCGGCTGCTCTATCCTGACGAGATTCAGGCATGCACCTGTTGGAGGCCACACTATACCGTACTGAGTAGTAAAAACTTAGACACTAAAGCACCTGCCAGAGTTCTTGGAGGCACACTTCGGCCATCCAAAAGTAAATGTCATGATTCAGGTGAAAAAAATCCCACTCCATCATGCCTATTTATTGCCATTGACCACAAAGGCAGTTTAAAGTGACAGGCTCAGCTGTACATGCCTACATTACAAGTGTAGGTGGGATTTCTATCCCATGCCCATTTATACTCCTATGCCAGGCAAGATTATCCAGGAGTGCCACCATCTGCAACTAGGTAAATGTATTTCCTCCATACGTCTCCTACTTATGTTCAAGATGAGATATCACAGTGCACCAATGCTTGGAGAGAGCATTACTAAAAGGCCTCTTGAGTTCAAAAAGCAGTGCGTTATTGAATGAAAAGGTGGTTGGTGGCCAGTACATGAAAGAACTCTGTACAAGGCAGAGGGCACAAGCTAACACCCTGGATCTGCTGTGAGGATTTGTCATAAGCCCTTCCTACCATCAGTGCTGGTGTGAGTCCCACCCTGCAGCAACTCAAGTGTGCATATCAATATAAAGGGATAAAGCCACCAGTCCTACGAGTTTCTTGGGGCAGCCTAAAGGATTTATATGAGTACTTCTAGAAAAAGACCAGGGCTTTATGTTCCCCTGATCCTATTTTTATCATTACGGATCATCCAGCTTGCTTTTTAGTTTCTTCAGGGTTCAAGCTCACTCTGCTGTAGCCTGGATTTTTTTCCATTTTAACCACACTGTAGAAGCAGAGTGCCAGCAAAACAGCAACAATGTCTTTTCCTACCCTTGCTCATTCTGAGTCAACACACTGGCACAGGATTGAATCAGATATAGGAAATCTGGTCCTCTCACCTCTGCCACTGATGTGGCCTTGGAGTCCCCTTATGCACCCGGGGCAGTCTGCTGTCCCACTCTGCTCCTGCTAGTACAACTAAAACTACTAGACAAATAAAAGCTCATCCTTGGAAAAGTTCTGCTTCTCTGGATGACGCACGCAAAGAAAGCATTATTTGATACACTCCCATTCTTTGTCCCCAGGGGAGCAGCAATTAATTTTTGTGCTGATTTGAGCATGCTGATCCATTCATTAACACCTTCCCTTTTGCTGGTCAGTAAATTAATTGTGAGCCCAACTCCTAGAAAAATAAAAAAAAACAAAACACAAAAGGTTTTCTAAGTATGTATCAGCTGTGTAACTGAGCTAAAATTGGCCAGCTATTTTGGCTTGTTTGCAGACAGTTCTCTTTAACTGTCTGCTGTTTGTAACGTGCATCTGGTCTGTCACATTATGTGACACACTTTCTGCCCCTTGTTGTTTAACTGAGATGTTATAAACAGGGGAACAATCCAGATCCGACAGGGACGGTCACGAAAAGTAGCATTTTTTTAGCCTTACATCTCACAGCCACTTTAAGAACAGGTCAGGCTCATTATCCCCGTTTTAGACAAGCACCTCTGCGATGCCTTTGCCTCAGGCAGGGGAAACCAAGCCCCGGACCCTCGCCGAGCCCCGCTCCCACGGGCGGAGCACCGCCCCACGCCGCTGCGCCGGTCGGGAGAGAGGGAGGAGCGGGAGGAGCAACGCGGCCGTTCCCGCAGTCTCGGGTGGATTATGTGCCTGCTCATGCTGTATTTATAACCCCTGAGTCACCCAGGGGGAGGGGGAGTTGCGGCGTTGCTCACTCGTATGTTTATTTCGCTGCCTTAAAAAAAAAAATAATTATTGCCGCGCAATAAATCAATGTACAACCAAAAACACGCGCCTCCCCCGTCACGCGTGGGGGGACACCCACATCCCTTCTTGCCCCCTTCCCCCGATACATGCGAAGGGTCTGCGCCTTCCCTCCCCCACGGGCGGCGTGGTCCCGCGCTCCGCCCCGGCGGTGCCGTGACGGAGGGGGGTGGTAGTGGTGGGGTGGGGGTG